AGAGCTGAGAAAGCAACGTGTCTTGCAAAGCGAATTCCATGTTGTATCCAAAAGCATTAAACCGTGGTAATGTTAGCTTATATATTAGGACATATAAGCGCTAAGCAAGAAACGGACCTTCCATCAAGACCTCGAAATTACTAAACAAGTAAACAGGCAATCAGATATACAAGTAAAGCCAAGAAAAACACTCAAATTTTCATGTATACATGCTGAAAATAACCAGCTGAGTTATTGTGTCTGAACAGAATTCACAGCGGTTTCATCACACTAAGATAAAATTTCAGAGTTAAGTATTTTTGATACGTGTAACTGCCAGCATCATGTCTGTGACAGAAGTCTGAACTTTATACAACAGACAACACTGCAGACTATTAAGATCTTGACTTGAATTCCGGTAGAAAAAAATCCAGAATGTTTTTTGTATATAAATTTGTAGGGGTTTTTAATGTGTCTTCTGTTCAAACACTTCTAGACTCTTTCTGTAGAATGACAACTCCCAATGCTAGATCGCAGAAGGATTTGAATTTCAATATCCATAGAGTAATGGGAAAATATCGAACTTTACGACTTCCGATAAGAAGTATTGCACTTGCGATCGCAAAGCTTATTCCCATAGCTGTATTGCACGATAGCTACCTGCACCTGTTTTACAACCCGCCAGTAAATACTTGCAAATTAATACTTCATACGCTGTCAAAAATTTCTTCTCTGAAACAAAAGAAGGAATTGTATTCACAAATCATTATGATAATACACAACTTTAAGAAAAAACACCTGTTGAAATCGAAATTTATGTCCCAGAATATCCTCAGGATTCTGGAGAAAATGTAACCTTGTATATCATGAGATGTTTTGTAGTGCATAGTGCTGCATAAGCATACTCCTAGTTTAAAAAAGGCATCATAATGCGTTGTAGCTCATAAACAGTTGAATAGTGATTTCAGTGTTAGTAGTTACATCCAATACGGTCCTACATAACACGTTTAACACTACAGTCTTATACGGCGAACATATTATTAAAGTTTACAGAATATACTATAAATAACATAATTGACACAGGAGAAAATGTCATTTCCTAATTTTCTATACTCTGATGCTATTTTTACATGAAATGTACAGCATGTGATTTCGCTTTTTTTGTAGTTTTTGTGGTCGCTGTCTTGATGATACAGACAGTGTAACTTATATCGTCTTTTTATCCCCACTTATAATGTTAGGATGATCGCCTCTTATGTAACTTGAGATAAAGTCGAACTTTTCAGAAAAACTAGGCATAATACAGCATATGTCCCACCTTGAAAAGATTAGCGAAGTGAATTTTAATAAAAAAATACTCATATAAATATCATAGGACTCTTATTATTACCAGTGTCAGCAGTGTTGGTAATGTAAACGAAGATAGCGGATTCATTTGAAATACATGTAGATAAATGACAGATGTATGCAAAGTTTAGGTGTATTCTTAAGCGAACTCGTCTTTGGGAATTTTCGGTTTTCTTCTCTCACCCTCTAGATCGCTAATTAATTAATCTATTATTTCCTCCCAAGAACAATCTTCTTTATCCGATTGTGCTGACTGTTATGGGAGATGTTGCCCAAAATAGATGTTGTATGTATTCTTATCTTTCATAAACATTGTAGTGTTAACAGTTGCAGTTATTATATCAGTACAATTTAAATGAAAGATTTGTTTATTGATCCTTATTACGTGGTACACATGACATGGTTTCAAGGCTTATATTTATGTGAAATAATGTTCATACTTGAATTAAACAACACTTCAGAGATGTACTAGTAATGAAGCATGTTCAATATCCACAATTTTTAACACTCTGGTTATTTGCTATGTGTGAATGCGATTAAATGGAAAAATAAAATGAAGTGTCGTCAGTGAAATGGAATAAATAAATGTTAGACTGTGATAATGTAGGATGAAGTGAAACAAAACAAAGTGAAAGAACATAGAATGAACAAGTTTTGTGAATCACATGATAAAATTAAAATTATAGTAACGGAAGAGATGGTACAAATTGTCTTTGTACACAGTGGTGGCTTTATGTCATCGGCTGTCACGGCTTCTCCAATACAATGCATATGCGCTCGTATATCTTTCGGCAACTTCTATCGAACCCTGTAGACAGTGTCAAAATTTGCATTACAAACCGAGTGGTCATTATTTACCGTTCATATCATCTTAGGTGAATTCATGGCTTTAAGTCCTCTTCTGCTCAGACAAGCTGGTAAACACTTTCAAACACGTTGGGGTATGTTCCTCAGTGAACTTCCTATGTTATTAGTAGAGGTAAAAAATATCACGGATATGCATAAAATAAACACAAACTTTGATTCACTCTTTACTCGCTAACTTTGAAAATCCATGTTCACAGGTTGATTCTCGAGAACGTCGACAACTGGCTTTGTTGTACAAAGTAGCAATATTATGTTTCTTGGTTTTTAATGCTTTTCTGTTTAATGACGGTTTATGACTAAATTCACCTGGAAAGATTGTTTTAAGAAGTGGATCTGTAGACAGACTTACGGTGAGTATAGTAATCTTCAATAAATTCTTATATCCCTCAGCTGAGAGACTAAGTAAAATAGATTACTAAAAGCAATACTTAATTCACTAATCTAGTATTCAAGTTAAAAGAACTTTCACATTAGAAAAAAACACGGTTTCTATAAAGGCATTTCAATTTATATTAATGAACATCATAGTGTCGAGATAGTAAAATGTAATCAAGAAATAAAATTATGCTAGTTAATATGGAGGGGGACGATTAGAGACAGAACAGAAATAGGTAAAATATAAGCAGCAAACCAAAAAGTGAATGAAATACTCAACCCAAATTTCATATAATTTGAGGCGTTTCACCAATGATCTCAGTAAATTGTTTTGAAGGATGTTCAAACCCTATCATTAGATGAAATTTCATTGTGACCAATTTTACTAAAAGACTACCAGTCGGTGGTGTTGTGCTTACATGTGATTCGCAACAAAATTTAAAATGACTACTGCCCATTCACGCTTGAATTATACACTTTGGGGAAGCGTTTGTGGAAAAAGAAAACTATGGGGCAATACATTGACGTCCTCAGTTATTCACTCGTTAAATGTGGAAGAAATGTGGTTAAATGTCTTGCCAATAGGGCAAGAAAGACGTGTATAGGAGATCATTTACAAAATGGATTTCAACATACTCATCATTCCTTGACTGAGATGGGATATACTGCTTATGTCAAAAAGAAGCATGGACAAGTTAGGTGAAAAACCAGATCCAATAAGAGCATATAAGAAACTGTTATCTAATAAATTATAATTTAATGGGGATTTTTCTAGTGAAAGTTTGTTCCGTTTAATATACGGAGCTATAAGGAGGACATTTTATGCAGCCAACCTTTGTTTGTTATCTCCTAGTTATCAAATGATCATGACTCAAATGATCAGTTCAATTACTCTTGAAGAAACAGTCGTGTTAGGTTACTAATAGATAGCTTGGCCAACAAACCTTAGGAGATTTTCCCTCCTGGTTTTGTAAGGGACAGGTAATGACCATGTGAAGCTCACTTTCGTCTCATTTAGCTGTTAGCAGCCATTCACTGGAAAAGACTTAGTGTTCAGTGTGGTCCGTTGTATCCTACAGATTCTTTCTAACAGTCTTCGTATTTGTCTACTGCCTAAAATTGTGGTGATTGGGAATAAAAATTTCAAACTATTAAACTATGCGTTCAGAAGAATTTCGTATGGCTATTGTCCCTTCCATGACTACTGAAGACGTAACTAAGTGACTATACTTCCACCACCCCATATGCGTTTTTGATCTGTTTCTTACCCCTTTGTAGCCTCACTTGTAGCCTTACAATCTAGTATTATGTAATCTTATTGTTCGTTTTGTAGGACCTCCTTATCTACTTCATCTGTTTGTTTCTGTAACCAAACTGTTTTTCACTACGCCTATTAATAGAACTTTTATTCTAACCGCATAGTTTATATGCCCACTCTTATCATACTAATGACAAATCACTTTGGCTAGCTTGTATGTAATATTTTTTGCAAAGTTATTTATATGACAGTAGTACCTGATGAGATCTAGTTGATAAAATACTGCTCTGAATTATAAACATGAGATTTCACTCTGCATTGTTGAAATATCAAAAATGCATCACATCCTACTTAAACTGGGAAGTTTTCTTCCTGCTTTCACTTAAGCAATCCTAAATATTTCCTTGGTAGTGAGTGATACGCCTTAAGGCGTTTTATTCATTATTTAGCATCTATTGATTTTATTAAAAGTCGATTCAATATTCAGTGTTTATCTTTTATGCTTATGTTTTCGAGTTTTTTTTTTCATGTTTTTGTCCTACTTCCATATGATGAAATTTTTCTAAAAGTTGATATGATAACCTCATCAATGACCTTATTATTATTATAAACATAACGCCTTCTACATTTTCTTCTGATTGGTTAAATTCAAATGTCTAGTTGTAATTTACGCTAACCTACTTAAAACAAACTTGATAATAAAAAAAAATTGTTTTTGAATGAAAAATTCGGTAAATTGAATGATTACTGAAATAAGATTTGTAATATCAAAAGTAAATGCACTTCTATAGCATAAATACGATATGTAACGAGAGTGAATAAGCAGCGGATGGCTTAAATTAAAATAAAAAGTGTTATGCATCTAGTCCTTTGTTTACTGCAAACTGAATTCTATCAGTCAAGTTTGTAATGTGACCACCAACATACTAGGTGGCTCACCATTACGACACACACTGATTTGTTAAGGGGTTCTCGAAAATGCTGAAGCCTCATTTCCAAGCTGTACATTCTAGCTGAGGGTAATATTATCTTCAGGAGGGTCTACACCACTTTGTAGACATCATTCTAATTCTTACGATGTAAGGATTTTTATATTTTAGACAAATTAAATAACGATTCATTGGGTTTTTTTTTCTTTCTTTTTTGATTAAAGCATTCTTCAGAACCTTCAACTATGACACCTATGGTTAATCTGAACTCTAAAACACAGACTACCCCATCAACTAACTCTCAAGTAAATATGGAGATTTATCACAGTCAAACAGCTGGTTATCCACAGAAATTTTCGACTACCTATTCACTTAACACGCATCCTTCACATTTTGGATATGATACACGACTGCGCGCTCCAATAATGAATTCGCTACCTATGCATTTAAGAGCAAATAATCAAAATTCTACAGGGATTGTCATACCCAATCCAAGATATGCTGGCTCAAATAACGTTATATTCACAACTGGCAGTGCACAACTCCCAGCTTTTTCAAACCTTCCTCCAGATCAAATTCGTGATTTGGACACAATGAGGTATATCTATTTAATTATACTGACGTGATACTACGTTTAGATTCCTGCTTTAACACCAAATAAAAATTATATTGCTTTATTGACTAACACTGTGATTCTCTCAGTAGATCCCAGTGAAGTCTTCTAGAATTTTCAGTGAAACTATTTGAGATGTCTTTGAATTTACCCAACTTATTTTTTTGGTTATGAGGGTGACAGCTGTAAAACCTCAGGTAGTGACTGCATTTAAGTTAGTGGCTTCAAAAATGTTTTGGACACTAGGTCTTCTAAATCAGTCGTCCTTTCATTATACTAAATATCTTAAGTACTTCTGCATCTGTTAGCTATAAATGGGGAGCGAAGTTTTGGAAAGAACCCAACGAAAATGCATTCAGACAGGCAGAGGGCATACTATTTCGGTATTTAAAGATGAACCGAGATGAGTTCTCTACGCTAAAAAGTACAAATAAAGTGGAGTTGATTCATGACATGACTTTCCAGTTAACCTTATCATGATTAGTAAGTTAATTGCTGGAAATGAGAACGAAATAAGAAGATGGTGTCTCTGGTTATATATAGCAATGCAATTTAGATTAACTCATATAATGGTAACTATAATAAAATGTTTTATTTATGGATTTCAATCTGATTCTTTTTTAATTAAAAGAAGACGAATGCAGACTGACCTACCGACGAATATTCATCAGAGCCAGACATCATCAGCTACACGAGATGACCTGACGAACGCTGACAATCAGGAAAATATTCAAAGAGAAAATGAAAGGAAACGATCCATATTTGGTACATTAGGACGTATGTTTAAAAAACCGAGTGCTGTAAATTTACCCAGCTCCATAAGTCAAACGACGGACAGTAACACAAAACCTATTTCAGCACATATGCAACAGTCGTCAACCTTACCTTTGTACTCCAATCAACTGATACAACCTTCTCGCAATTATTATATGCATAATGTCCCCCTTTCACAGTCCTTTTATAAACCAGATGAACGAAATAGACTGTACAATATCCCATATTCAATTCAGGATTCTGGATTTAACAACATGTCACATTTTAATCGTTCTATACATCCCAGCTCCCATGCTCAGTATCAGATCCAAGAAGGATCATTTAGGTATAGTCCACGACCGCCTTCACATCACGCTTATTTCGGAAAACCTAAACCTGATGTATACACTTCTGAAATGCATGTCAACCGAGAGCAAAACATTAATCATCTACCTTCAGTATCTCATTCTACAAATATTCAAGGTAAATATTTGATATAACTAAACTGAATACTCCTGTATTAGTTTGTTTATTAGTTATATCACACAGTGAAACAGTATTATTTACTGGATGACGTTTTGAACAAAATTTATTGTTCATAATCATATCAGTTGTAATTACACGACTTTGAAACTTGAGTTTTATAATTTTCTTTGTCTTCTCCTATTTGTCGTAGGGGTAGTAGGATTTTCCAGATATCTGATACAGGTTTTGAATCATTCCTATTACAAGTATTTGCTGTTGATTCGATAAACAAAGCTTCTGTTATCAATCTCTCCCTCCACCCTGTGACATTAGATTTTAAAATTGTCACCCTATTCCATTCAGCCTATTGTATGGTTGTGTGTAACTGCGTGTAGTGCTATAGCTGAACTGTTCTCTAGATTTTGCTAAGTTTTTATGTTCGGCTAGTCTGACTGCCCCTGTTCTACTAGTTTGACCTGTGTATTTTACCTGAAAATCATCACAGGGTATTAGATAAACTAAATTGTTTTGTTTCAATGGCTCCACAGGATCCTTTAACCGACAAAGCTTGTTTCTAATTGAGTTTGTGGGCCTGAATGCCACTTTTATTCCTGCCTTGTTAAGAATTCTGCGTAAGACCTCCGAGGTTCCTTCTTTGTATGGAATTACTACTGATAATTTAGATTCTTTATTGTTGTGTCGTCATTAATATTATTATTATCATTATTATTATTGTTATCATTATTATTGTCACTATCGCTACTATCATTATTTATTTTATCTTTACATTTACTTACATATTTCCTGACTAATTTATCGGGGTAATTACTAAGTTTCAAGGCTTCTTTAATGTGTATCACTTCCTGTCTTAGATTTTCCTTGGTACTACTTAGTTTTCGTGCTCTGTCATTTAAACATTTCACTAATCGTATTTTTACTGACATAGGATGGGATGATCGGAAATTCAAATATCTGTTTGAATGTGTGGGCTTTGTGTAAACATTAGTGTTAAACTTCCCATCTTCTTTCCTTTTTATGTTGCAATCTAACATTAGCAGTCCCCCTTCCTGACTTTCCAATTCATAAGTGAATTGAATTGCCTCTACCTTCAAGTTGATGTGTTTGATATCTGGAAAATTCTACTACCCCTACGACAAATAGGAGAAGACAAAGAAAATTATAAAACTCAAGTTTCAAAGTCGTGTAATTACAACTGATATGATTATGAACAATAAATTTTGTTCAAAACGTCATCCAGTAAATAATACTGTTTCACTGTGTGATATATCTAATAAACAAACTAATATGGAATTACTTATTACCACAGTGCCCAAGTTTTACACATATATTAATAAACTGCGATACTTCAAGCAGATATTCTTCCATGTTCCAGTTTGATAAATTTTTGATTTGACGTGCTTTCAAGGGAATACAACAAAGTGACGCTGACTGATGACATTTTTAACAAGTTCAATAGAAGGCGTTGCAAAACAATTTACAGTTACATAAAAAATTATTTGAATTGTTGCAGAAGTCTGCATTTTTGCTAATTATGTTTGTAGAAGTATGGAGTTTGAAAGAAGGTCTTAATTACTTTCTGTAAAATCATAGTTAAACTCTTCTCAGTTCGTTTCATCAAGAGAATCCAATTCGCGTAATCCTCTCTTCCTAAGAATGATTAATTCAGAGACACCTTTAACTTTTCTTATTCAGACAGATGTTTTGCTTTAGGAATGATTAATTATGGCAGTTCAACTCTTATCTAGTAAAATGTTCATGTTCACGAGTTTGAATATACTGGGTAGAAAGATGCAGTCATGTTAAAAGCTAAAGAAAATAACCTGTTTTTATTCCTCAAAGCTCCCACTGGAACATATGGCTTCAAGCTACAAACTTGAAGTTATGGTAACAGCGGCAGTTATTTTTAAAGAATGGGACTGTTAGCCTCATCCCTAACCTCCCTTCTTTACCAGTATTATTACTAGGTTAGCGAGGTAAAGGAGTGCATCGGTCAGGGATCGAAACCCGAACCACATGAGGCGTGGTTGGCAAGCGTTCTACAGCTAAGCCACCGATGCACAAACAAATAAACTTTGAATTAACGCATCTAAGTTACTACATTTTCCTCTACCCTAAAGAATTATTGATTTCATTTCGTTTGCAATGACATTCGTCAAGTAATGCGTAATAATAAAATTCAAGGAGCACATTTTGTTCTACCTGAAAACGTCATTTTGTATATACATTATTGTGAATAATTTCACTGAAATTCAGAGCCTTTATACACAATAAAAAACGTATTATTGCTATTCATTATATCTGACGTTATTAAATTAGGTTTACAAATTTTGTTCTATCTTATCAGACTAAATCAGTTTCAAGTATTCCTTTGCAGGGATTCGATTAGCTACTAGTAAATACTTTTGGACAGTTCCAAAATGGGACGAAACTGCTGTCCAATAGTCTCTGGTCTTCTAATAATTCTCTAAATGATGTCAGCCTGTGACCGAAGCTATAGTAAATCAGTTTCCTTGTAGTGAAATGTGGGCTTCCTAAATGAATGTTCTAATATCAGTCTCATTTCCCTTGTGTAATTTCATTCGCTTAAACAATAAATAAATGGACTTGATAAAGTCTCACTGGGATAAGTTCGTTTATTTTCCACTTCGAGGATAACGGATAGGAAGTTTCTACGCTCAGAGTAATTTGAACCAGTTGAGTTGCCTAGTTTTGAGATTGAGTTTTATTTAAAACTTGGTTATCTGTGAATATTCTGTGCTAACTGGATACTACTTTTAAGATATATCTATCATAATTTTCACTCTTTATACTTTATTAAAGCTCCCATCGGTCAAAAGCAAACTCAAGAGGACAAACAGAAATCCCAGTGAGTCAGATTTCTATATATGTATATATCGATAGACTACATGATGAATAGATGTATATATCATTAAACGACGAAGAGAAATTGGTTATGTTACACATATTAATGCGTTGTTATTTTACTTTTTTCAGTTGCCCCTAGGAATTTATGTTTACCCCTATTAGTGGCTTATTCGTTCTCACTGAGTGACGCTTCTAAATCAGATTTCGGTCTGTATAGAAGACAGATATATATGTTCTCATAGATCTCAACACTATGGGCTGTATTTATGTATGGCAGGGTGTCAGGTGGTTTTTTATCGATTGTCCAAGTTACTATGTATGATAACATAAACATAGGAACGTACGTATCCGCGTTCGACTTGTTAATACTAGACTGATGTTTAGTCTCACATATGCATATATTTCCCTTCCGACTTGCATTTATAGTTCCAGAGTCGCATACAAAGAAAATTAGTGATTTTGTCCAGAAACATGAGATTTATGCCGAACAGATTGACTAGGGAAGCAGATAACTATGACATTTACTTTTAGCCAGTTGTTTCTTAATTTACAAAATGTTATAAGTCGCTTCTTTGGTTATAGACAGATTTCTATTTATAAATAACAGTGAATTATATGCCTGATAGAATTAATTGTATGGTTACAAGGTTTCTAGCATACTTTTATTTCGTAAGCTTCTCTGTACATCTCTTTTGAGCCCGTAAAAAATGATTGTAGCTGACTAAATGGCTTTTTTACTCCCTTACGTTCCAAGTGGAACACAGAGCTTCAACCTAGGACTATGAAGTTTCGGTAGCAGTGGTTTTATTCCTACGGGGTTTGGTTGCCAGCTTCATGCCTATTCTCCCCTCTTTACTGGCCTTACTTCTGCCTAAATGAGGGCCAGGAGTGCGGCGGCTGGGGATCGATTCCTCGACCACATGAGGCGTGGTTGGCGAGCATCTTACAGCTGAACCACCTACGCACGAGTAGACAGTTAGTATAGTAATGTGTTTAACAATGTACATAATTCATTTAAGCACTCACTTTTTGGATAATTGATAGATAAGCTTGAATCAGATTCTAACCACAGTCCGTGGAGTATTATAACACAATTGATCTCACTGCAACTACACTTTATTTTCCCTATTACTGACATCTCGATTTCAACTATTGACTGACCTGTTAATGCTAATGCTACGATTAAGGTGTACCACGGGCTGTTAATAGGCAAATATGAACAAGGCTGAGTCAACAACCAATCACAGCAAAGTTAACGTGGCAAAATATGATTCGCAGATAGAGAACTCTATTTGTCAAGGAATCCCGAAACAACCAATCAGAAGCCTGCGTTTGTCTGCCTAACTTCTGATAAACAACCAATCAGATGACTGCGCTTGTCTATAATAATGTATGTGAAATATGTATAAATACGTGTTGATTTTCGTAATAAAACGATCTGTTGCCTGGCCCTTGTCTTCTGTTGTTACACCACCAGATAGGCTCCGATTTTACAGTTTTGAAATGATAAGTAAGACAAACAGTATTCTGCTTTATTCAAACAGTCATGATTCGCGTGTCAGTGTTGAGGAAGAAACTAAAGCAGGTAAAAACTTTGAGGATAACTTTAGAATCAGTAGGCAATAGTGAAAACACCTGACTAGTACATTATGTAGAATATCGGTAGAAAACTGTGAAATCAATCGAGAGTTAACAGTCGCCCAATGACCGTCCCAAGAAACACTGAATCTACCCTCATTAATCTTGTTCTCTCCATTATAAATAACACCGGATATACTTCAGTCTGAATAAATAGCTTCCATATAATTAGTTGACTAGGTGTTTATTGTATACAGTACGAACTTTTGTTTTTGAAATCCTACGTATCAGTACTGAACAACACTGTTGTTCGGTAAATAAAAATAAACAGGCGAAAGTGAAAATCAGAGGTTTCCACGTATTGGACAACTTGAAAGCTAAAACTTGAAAGGGACAATTTGAAAAATCTTTGTTTTATACCGAAAGTCTTTTTTTTCGCTGAATGATTAATTCTATTATAATTAATAAAATTTCTCAGCTTCGAAACTAAAGCGTTAAAGAAGTTTTTTAGATAATAAGTTAAGCAAATCAGCATATTTCGAGTACTGAAGAAGTCTGAAGGTAAATTCATCCATGTATAGCAATAATAATCAAGGCATCTGATAACTCGAAGTCAAATCTCAGGAGAAGCCAAAGGATTTCTATATTTACATCGGAAAAATAAATTTAAAATATCTTATTCAGGAAGCCTCTGAATATGGCGACAAGTAAAATCTGCAAGAATTTAAGCTGATTGAAAATGCAGAAGAAGTGGATTTCATTCTGAGATACCTCATTCCACCATTTTTATTTATTTTCATTGTACGTATACTGTTGCATGTGACTCAGTGGATATATATATATAATTACGGCCGGGTCATGTGCTACGCATGTCACCTACTTGTTCTCTCTAAAAACAAGGTAAATTCATTACAGAACTTTGATTGTTTTTCTAGAAACCACTGACATCAATATATCGTACAAAAGAGACAATAGGTGTTGTAAAACCAAAACACATCGTCAGTTCATAAATGCATTGACTTTTTTTAATAAGAAGAAAAATTTCCCGAGATGACATCGTCATTTCGTAGTTTCTTTATAACCGCTTTACAACTAACACGGTTAACAATGATAAAATAAAGTTCGTGAAAATTACTCAGTTAAATAAAAACAAAAATAAATACTAATGACCAATCATATTTAGATAGGTCATGTAGTCCAGAGTAGGCGAAGATTGAAGTCTATTGATTTTTGTACACACAGTTTAGGCTGTATGTTATTAATCCCCCAAAGTGCTTCCATCACCTTCAATAACCAACCTTGAATTAGAGTGATGTGGTGAAATAATTGTGAAGTAGTCATTAATATTGATTTGAGGACCTGACATTAATAAGTGTTTTGCAATGGATGATGCTGGATTTCTATTAAGATTAATGCGTTAGGATTTTCGATATGATTTAGTAGCCATTTTGGAACGTGTTCTTTTCAACGACATTCGAACATTCTGTTGCTTCTACCTATATAGGTGTCACCGCAGCTGCAGGTGAACTTGTAGATACAGTTTGAAGTAGAGTCGACAGAATTTCGTCCTTTAATCGTAGGTACAGGGATCGAAAATGTTCAGCAAGTGAGAAAAAGAGATGAGGCGGCTTAGAATGTGCGTTTGCTAGCTGACCGAAGTCTTTAAGTTGTCAACTGCATAATCTGGTCCCCCTGGATGGTGGGTTAATGATGATAGCTTTTTTTGGTACAGAAGCTGTCTTTTCGAGATGTAGTCTATCCTTACTGTGACAAGTGATAAATCTCTCCGGGTAACCATTAGCTAATAAAACTGAATGTATATGCCGAAACTCATCCATCAGTGTGTCACTCGTGCATATTTTTCGGCTCCTTGAGAACAAACATTTCACTAGGGAACGTTTATACTGGATAGGAACAAAACTGGTAAAATGAAGATATTGTCCATTCCACGTGTGTTTACGAAAAATAGAGCGCTGAATCGTTCCATCATCTCTCCTAGTCATAGCAATATCCAGGAAACCGAGTTTGTTATTGGATTCTAGTTCGGAGATCACTCGAATATTTTGATGCATATGATTAAATAGGGTGATGAAGTGTTCAATAGATTTACTATTATTACCAATAATGAGAGTATCATCTACATAACGTTTGTACAGCATAAATTCTCCCAGTATACTTTGCATTTGTTTCTCTAATTTCGACATGAATATGTCTGCTAACAGGGGCCGCAGAGGGCTCCCCATCGCAACACCATCAACTTGTTTGTATACCTTTTCTTGGAATATGAATCTAATATTTCCTGTCAACAATAAAAAGCCCTTTGTATAGTATTCAGTTTTAGAAAAAAAAACAGATCTCTTAAACAACCTCCTTGTGCTTCAATGCTTATCAACCCAAGTTTTGCTTTAATTTGTTTATAAAGTTTTTCATTTATAAAACCATGCATCAATAAAATCTGGAGCTGACGATTGATCTGCCTATCAGCAAGCAGCACATTATCAGTAGCACTGTCCACCAGAAATTTGGATTGATCTTTGAGGATATCATTCATTTTATTTTGATAATCCGATTTGTTCATAATGACAACGCCTTCTCCCTTATCAGGTTTAAGGATCACAAGATTATCTTTTTCGATTAATTCCTTAAGTGCGGCGTGGTGTTCTTTTGATAAACCATTTTTCTGGTGTATTCTAGAATTTAGAAATTGATTAGAAATGTCCACCAGTTTAACTTTAAACCAGCCCAGATTATCTTTACTAGAAGGAGTTAAATCAGAGGTTTGATCATAGAGGTTATCGTACTGTGACTGGACTTCCATTTTTTTAATTTTCATGGGAATAGTTTTGTACTTTTATTGACTTTATTGACTTTTATTCTGAGCAACGTGGAAAGGTTCAAAGTACATGGGTGGAGTCTTCACAATGCTTAAAATCAACAGCTGAACATTTTCGACGAAATGACTTTAAGGGGTGTGCTGTTTATCGTATTATGAGACCTAGAAATTATCACTTGTCCTTATTTAGTTGTGCTTCGTGATACAAATATGTTTGTCTGTATCACTCTTATTCTGGTATTTTACTTTAAATTTTGGACAAACTGTTTCAAATTGAAATGATACACTTCTTTGCAAAAGTGTTTCCTAAATTGTTCTGCAACAAGGATATATCTGTGACTTGAATATTTAACTTCTCCTTGGAAATAATATCATGAGAACTAATAGAAGAGTAAGAAATTTCCAGAGTTATCCTACAATGTATTCAACTTCACACTGACTTACTTCTTGGTAATTAATATGCACTTTTCTCATTTTTTTCGTTCACTGTTTACAGAAAAGTGCTACTTGAAGATGCGATTCGCAGCAATTTACCATTCACCTCCTGGAGTAGTCCTATACTGGTTGCATGGTTAAAAGTAAGCACAAACTGTAATGAATAAGACTATGAATACTTGTTCATTGATTTTTCTGTATGGTAGAAGGTCCTTAAGTGCATACTGCGGTAGATCTATACGCTCACTTTTAGCTTATCATTGCATGTTTAAACATTCAAGTGTGATTTAAGTAGCATAATTCCATTTCTTTATAAAACACGATTGATTTAGATTCTTCATATATTAAGGCTGTAGAATATGTGTGCTGTGTTTACCTCCGTTTATAGACTGTCAACGTTCAGCTGATGTAATTAAGATTTACAGAGTATGAACGAGCTTCTTTTTGTTTGGCACATATCAGTAATAAACACAAGCCAGCAATAACTAGGATTTTACTACATTATCAAACTAAATTATCTGCATTCTAATTTAAAATTATAAGGACCATTGGAACGGGTCCCAGTGGCTTAATGGTATACGAGCTCGCCTTGTAACCGGAAGGTCCTAGGTTCGAATCCAGGTGGGTGCGTACTGATGAAGAGTCTCAAACTATGAAGAAACAGCTGTCCAGTACTCCCAGATTTTCCAACAGTTCTCTAACTAATATCAGCTCATAATGAAATCCTGAAATCAATCAAATCCCTAAAAACCAACACTTAAAATTATAAGTGTTTTCAGACTATATCTATTGCTCAGTTAGAAGCATTATACTTTTGTAACAGCAGAAGACAAGACGTGGAAGCCAAGGTATACTTTTAAATGTTCAGACCACCATTTATATCTATACAGTTTATATTCTCCATCCAATCAATGAGCGTCTGATTTTGGTTTACATTAAACTACGTGAAATATAAAGTTCAGATACACAGATTAGTCTGTTACTAATGCAGTATTGAACTGTGAGAATACCACTTATACGTTGACACCAACAAATGCAATGATTCTTACTTTGAGAATAATATTCCGTTGGAATCCACTGTCCGTATCACACCACTACACCATGATGGCAGCCAAAATAAGCTGTCAATCACGTCTCATAAACCGTTAATGCCCAGCTCTTGCTACGCTCGGGCCCACGCTGTTCCTTGAAGTTTCTCAGAAACGCTTAGTAATAACGGACGCAAAAACCAAAACACCAATTGGCCGCTTGAGAATTCTTTATTGTAACACCAACATATAAAAAATATTACAACTAAGGTCTGTGAACAAATATTACAATAATAAATCACAAGATTACTTCTGATGGTTTTCTACTGACTTCTTTCTGAACAGCGACCGATGAGACGATGACTGTCGTATTGATGCCTCCGCGAAAATTGGGGAAGTTGATTTTGAGCAAACAACCATGAATTGATCGTTCAATCTTCAACTCCATTGACACTCCCCGGCAAAAAAGGGATCCAACCCTTTTTTCCATCACGACCAATACACGTTGACTTGGATGCCATTGCGAGAACCTGGGTCACACGGACAGAGCTGAAATGGAAAACAAACAGAAAAGCCAACACACCACAAGCATACCCACAGCACAATCTCACACATCAATGACGACCTGCGCCTCCAGACAGAGACCTCCTCTTGACATCTTGCAACACAATCGCCACTTGCTAGAATGACTCTTGCAGAATGCAACGTGACCATAGCAGCACCTCACGATACTCTTCGCACATCCTCTTATATACTCACTACCAATTATCACTGCAATCGCTTGTCACTCATTCTGCCTCAATTCTAGTAACGGTGACGTATGCAAGCCTCAGTCGTCTATACTCTTGCTCCCCGGCGTGTGGGACCGCACCTAACAATTATCTCCGTGTGCATTTCATTCTCAGCAATAGCCTAGACTCCCCGGCGTATACGACCCATCTGCTGTCTCTAACATCAATCAATTCATTCACGAACGTAGAAGACCGGAAACAACTCCAGAAGTAATCACGACGAAAATTTTAACAAAATTACGCAATAACAACAAGATACGAAAACAACAAGTAAACACAATGAATCCAAAAAACACCAATTGATATGACACACCACACGTATACACAAACAGTACAAATATCCTCGCGGATCATGTCTTGATGTAATTCCTTTGAAGAATTGCAGGACTTACACCAGTACGCCTACAACACTTCACAGGTTGACGATTGTAAGTTGTGGAATGTCCGGACACAAACAAGATTAACCTACAATTACGATAATTGGAACTCACACAACTATTTAACACAAACATATGTACAATCAATACATCAAATGTTGTGAATTCTGCCTTGACAAACTACCCTTGAAGAACTGTAGGACTTACAGCAGTACGCCTACATTCCTTCTCAGGTTGATGATCCAAGTGGAAGTCGTCCGGACACAAACAGAATTACCAACAGCTGAATGACAGATGATATCAATTCAGTATATACAATAAGAACATATGTACAAAATCACACACCAAGCACAGTGGACTGCTCATTGATGCGCTACCCTTTGAAGAATTGTAGGACTTACAGCAGTACGCCTACAACCCTTCTCAGGTTGACGCCCTAGGTTGGAAAATCGTCGCAGAGTTCATTTGCTGACTTCCTTCTATCAGCTATATCCTCAAATCTGAACGGTAACACGCCCATGTCATTGTATCGTAGAATATAGATGACCAACAAACACACGACATATCTCATCAACCAAGTATAGAAACAGAGTAATTTACACCAATGATAATAACATTCAAATAGTAGCTTGAAACTAGAAATGCCTTTATTCATGCAAGTCAATTTAACAATTACTCTCTCGTTTACACTTGGCTTATCCTCACTAAACTGACCATTGATATTCGTCCTTTCAAATGCACCAATACTATCATAGTCATTGCACAAGATACTTGAGTTGATGGGTGTCTGTTTCATTGTGGATGACAACACCAACGACGACTTATTGATACCAGATAATGAAGTTAGCGGTGGATCAAAAGCTGTTGTTGCTCGACTTTCAGAAATTTGTCTACCTGCAAGACCACCACCACTGCTGTCTTTTACTATCAGCTTAGGTTTAGCACTAGCATCTGATGATAGGTGGGCTACATGCTGATCAATTACACTGACGGTCTGACAAGTATCCATACCTTCTGCAACTGCATCTGCATTTATTTCTACTTCACGTTGTAGTTGTACAGAACCTTTATTTAACTTAGCAGTAGTAGGCATTCCCCCCATTTCATCATGATCGACCAAAGGCAAATCTGCACTATCATGATCATTACCACTAATATTCAATTTACCGTCAAGTTCATCATTTTCAAACTCTTCAATAAAAGAAGTAGACAATTTTTGTTCCTCCTCACAAATCATTAAAGGTTTAATATCTTCACTCTGACTAGTTATACTTTGTAAACTTTTGGAACCAGAACTGCACTCTGAAGCAATAACTCTATGCTGTGGCACTTTATTCAACAATGGCTTACCAGTTGCAACTACAAACTTCTTCACCGCACCGTTATCGTCACACAATTCGGAGTCAGGTCTGGAGTTTACATTTAGCTTATCACTGAACTTGCTCACTGGTTCACATTTCACCTTTGTATGCACCTCTTGCAAACGTGTAAAACACAACCGTGTTTGTCTTGCATCTTGTAACTTATCTGTTGAGGATGTACTACGAAACCTGTTGCACTCACTAGGTCTATATGCATTACTAGACATCATGGAGCCTTCTCGATATCCACTTCTCTGAGGCCTATTCGTCATCAATGATTGCGTTTTTCCCTCAGACTGCTCTATTCTAGGGGTGAGATTCAATATACTGGCAAACTTGCTCATAGATTGATTGACACTATCTTTTACAAGTTTCAGGATATCATCAAACTTTGGCTCGATACCCTCATCCTGCATACGGGAGCTTATCTTCACCCACTTCCTTTGCAGTCGAGTAGGTAGGCGTCTTGCTATTACTTCTAGTATAAAACTCGAGTTGAGGTCATTCATGCGATTCATCGAAATCATTGCATTCTTCTAAATTAGCAAATTATCTAAAAACTCAGTGAGTGCCTGGGAGTCATCCTGTAGTTTACCACCATTACCCTTAACAGCCTCGAATAATTTCCCTACAATCATCGAAGGTCTTCCAAACCTTTGACGTAAAATGCTCATAGCCTCGTAGTAGCCCTCTTTTGGCTTCATAAACTTACAGCACTGTATAGCTCTTGAAGCATCTCCAGTGCAATACCTCATCAAATACATCAATTTCAATTCATCACTTAATAAAAAACTACTCAGCATGATCTCAAACTCCTTTACAAATTGTAAATAATCAGCTGGGTTTCCATCAAAACACCGTGGTTCAAATTTAGGTAGTTTGATGTTCCTATTATCCCTGAACGGCGAAACAGTAACATCAACCATGTCATGCTTAACATCAGACACATCGTTACAAGTAACAGACAAGTCACCATGACTTACTTTCCTGTTTGCATCCAAGACGCTCTGTCCCTTCTTTGACCCAGGCATTGTTGAACATGAACCAATTCCAAAAAGGTTCCAGATATTGCTTGTTCAAAGAGGACTTGACCGGCACCAGGAAAGATGAACGGTGACTATCCAAACTGTCACCAGCTATCTGAATCCGTCAGAAAATGTTTCCGCCCTCAGAAACTGTCAGCCACGTCTCGTAAACCGTTAATGCCCAGCTCTTGCTGCACTCGGGCTCGCGCTGTTCCTTGAAGTTTCTCAGAAACGCTTAGTAATAACGGACGGAAAAACCAAAACACCAATTGGCGACACGAGGATTCTTTATTGTAACACCAACATATAAACAATGTTACAACTAAGGTCTGTGAACAAATATTACAATAATAAATCACAATATTACTTCTGACAGTTGTCTCCTGACTTCTTTCTGAACAGCGACCGATGAGACGATGACTGTCGTATTGATGCCTCCGCGAAAATTGGGGAGGTTGATTTTGAGCAAACAACCATGAATTCATCGTTCAATCTTCAACTACATTGACATAAGCACTTCATCTCCGGAATTTGGTAAATAACAGTCGGCGTATAATTATTTTCTTCGGACTTAGTTATTATCTTTCCCTTTTTTCTTTATCCAAAATATGCAACAAGAAGGCGAAATCTTCAATAAATGTGGAATTGTATCCGTCGAAAGAGCGATAGTTCTTGTTGTTCATTGGTGAAGTGTTCAAAAAGTTGACTGCTCTGTTTGAATCTTGGTAAAGACACCACAACTCAGTGGGAGTCATCTTTATTCATTTGACTAGCTGTCAGCTGGCTGAGATATACATCGCGCTATTTACTCTCAGATGACACATCCTAAGTGACATAAAATTCCTTCATCTAAGTCGTACCAAACTTTTGTGAAATATGATAGTATCAGTGTAAATAGCATAACGTTGCCTACTTAAGACAGAATTGTCGATTCTGAAACATGTTCGCCTGGCATTTATGTAATCATCAAAAGCCTCAGTACAAAAATATTTGTCCCGGACTTTGGCATTTTTTGGTTCCATTGTGAAAACACGGCGATCGAACGATTTTTCCGTCTAAATATCTGTTTCTTATTCACTAAGTACAAGTTGATGTTATTATTTGATTGATCTTCAGTAGTAGATGACTCCAGCCATATTTTCTTTTTTTCTTTTACTTCGGCTATCTCCTACGGGAGGATGAGCCGGCTTCATGAACGTCTCGAATCATCGCTGCCCAGGCGCGGCAATTTGTAAGAGAGTTCATGAAGTTTCATGGGAATTTGGTACGAGTGATGTCCCCAGAATCGCTCGGCCTTTTGTTTGAGAGTGCAGCTCTAGCCTTTACACAGCCAAGTGTGACCTACAAGGCAGTAGGAGTGGAGTAAGGAGTCCACTATCCATTGACAGCCGGTGACCGGAGTTCGGTTCATACGCCTTTTTGAATGGGGCCAGACATCCAGGACATCCAACAAGCCCTTTGTCCATACGTCTGCCGGTGAGCTCCAGTGAGCTTCATACGCCAGTCGTTGGAGGTTTGGAATCAGGGTTTAGCCATCTCCCCTAGACCGTCATCCAATGGACAGTCAACCCGGTGGAGAGCGCCGGGCATCCGCTTTCGCCCTCTCACTTTGGTGAGAAACACCTCCGCCACGTGAAGGCAGTGAGTAGGACTTCCTCAGGAGAGGCTATGTAAGACGCCCGGTCATATGGGAGCATTTCAAGAGGTGTGCGGAGGGGTGGCCAACCCGCAGCGCAAGGCACCCACCCCCGACCATCCTGAGGCTTTGGAGACAAACGAGAATTAAAACATCAAAATCTTAGTAAAATAAAATAGATGATACTATGATTGGTAAGCAATTAACTTCTATGTCAGCATAACCTTGTCGCATCATTCAGACTTATGGGTAAAAAGCAAAAGGATGTAATCTGAAAATTTCAATTGAAGAGCTGACTCACTATTCTCAAGTTTTTTATTCGTTTTTTCGTTTTTTTTGCTTCACGTTCCCACTGGAACATAGGGCTTCAAGCTAGTGGCTTGAAGTTTCATAGCAGTGTTTACTTTTACAGGAGAAGGTGGCTAGCCTCAGGCCCAACCTTTCCTCTTTGCCAGCGTTATTTCTAGCTTAGCGAGGTAAAGGAGTGTTTTTATTAACAAATCATAAATGTTAAATACTTGTTTTCTTTGTTAACAAGATTAATTCATGTACTTCACTATTATTTATATATTAATGCAGTTATGGGTTGGCATGCCAGCATGGTACGTTGCAGCCTGTGAAGCCAATATCAAATCTGGTGCCATGCTTGCCTCATTGTCTGAGCAAGATATTCAAAGGGAATTAGGCATAAGAAATCCTTTACATCGGCTTAAACTTCGTTTAGCTGTACATGAAATGCTTGCATTCACTGCATCGTTGACAAGTTCAGCATCAAATATGGCGAAGGATGATGAAGCCACTACCTCTATAAAACAATTACATCTTGCATCTCCTCTAATTAAGGTAAATGTATAAAGTTAGTTTTAAAAATGTTAAATGGTTTTTATGTGCTATACTAGTACTAATAGTCATAATAACGTTGTGTATGTACAGCTTTATTTGAATTTATCAGTAAACTTTTTAAATTTTTTATTACTAAATGTTTAGATTGAGTGGGATTGGTATTTATGGGGTATTGTTTAATCCTTTTGAATTGTAAATGTACTTGAGGAAAGAAATACGGTGAATCGTATCCAATTTTTAAAAATAACTATGTAGTTAAGGTAGGAAGGTTACAGATAAGTGAATAGCCCAGGCTGTTTTATCTTCCCTGAGATGAGCAATTTAATTGTCAGTATTTCAGTGTAATGTTTGCTAATGAAGGCTGAAGGAGGACAATATCTGAATGGCTCAAGTATAAAGAAAATGTTACCTTTCCAAGATCCCAGTCCCCTGATGTTGATTGTTTTTTTTGAAACGATTATTGAAATCACGTTATCGAAAAACTCACCTTTTCTTTAACGCAGGAACAAGGAGTTACTTATACTAAATATTCTTCTCTTTCAGGAGACTATAACTGTTAAGTCTTTTTTCACAACTTTGCTTGAGACAAAACTATAAGGAGAAAAATAAAATGTGGATAGTACCTCTGTTTGGTAAACAGTGAATGTTTCAACAGTTTTTTAGAGAAATCAGACTATTAAACATGCTTCTTTCAATGCTTGGTCATATTACAGAAAAATATGCTATACATTGCATAAAAGCCGCCGCTAAGTTACAGTGTGGCTAACAATCAGTTTAACTCCCACTTAACTTCTGCTTTAAAATATTTTTCTGCAGTGTAATGTTTATAACAAAATATTTACTCAGAGAATTTTAACAACATACATACATATACAAAGTGATTCATTACAAGTTACATTGAATAAACAATCATTGAAGAAGGAGAAACAATTATATGCTGAACGAAACTCATCTTATTTTGGTACTGTTTACCGAGATAATGTTGTTGACAGTACACGTGAAAAAGAAATAAATAACCCTCGATTACACAGTGAACAACAAAATTATGTTTATGCAAACGAACAAATTATACTGATTATACGCATGTCATTAACTAGTTGCAGTGTTCGGTTTATTATTATTATTTGTCCGTTGCAATCCTAGTGTATCTTGGATTTCCTCTGTACTGAACTCACTTCTCTACCATTCCTTTCAACTGGTTTTACGACTGGCCATAAGCTTTTATTGCTTCTTCGTCTAATACTCTTCCTAATGTCACCGTCGGACGTCAAAACTAAGGCTCTTAATTCATATTCCACTCATGGTCCTGTCTGGTGCGCAATTTTACTCAACGGTCCATTCAAAATATGTGAATTCCATCTCCATTTCTTTCTACATGTTCATTGGGTTACATTTTAATAGCTTATTCACTATTATAGCTCATTTTTGCTTATCCTTTATGACCATCTGATCTTCAATGTGGATGTTGCAGTGTTTAGTAGTTACAGGAATTGAAATATTGATATCACGATGAGAAATGACTGTCGCTTTGGGTACATACCATGGATTTTTGAAAGGATAATCATTGCAGAAGTTGAATTTTGTCAGTGGAAATCTGAATGGTTTTTTGGATTGTATACTAGTCAGTAACTAGTGTAATTTGTCTAGTCCTATCTTTGTGCAGACTACATTTAATCAGTCAGGTTTGCAATGTGTCTACAGTTCTAGGTAACATGCCATCACGGTGCACATTGATTTGATGATATTAAATGGTTGGAGGAATTCTGCAGGAAGCCTTGGACCTATGTGTTTCGTGCTAGTAAGCACTCGTCACCCTAAGAGTTCTAACCCTTGTCACCTAGTGCTTCAGTCATAGACGTTAGACACACAGTGCACTAGTAACCGCCTGGTGTCCAATGAAAAAAATCAAATACAGTCATATTGGAGGTCACTCGCAAGCCTGAATACCTCAATGGTAACGTCTCTGACTGTAGCACTTGGTGACGAGGGTTGGAATCCTTGAGAAGGTACATGTGTTCCTTCAAGGCTGCAGATATACCATGCTGACTGGTGAGTGCTAGCTAGCACGCAACTTAGGTCGAAGGCTTCCTGTCGATTGCCTCTAACCATCTAATACCAAAAATCTGAATGTTTCCATTATTGAGAATAAAACGTGGCATTTGCAAGTTTTCAACAGCCACGAGCAGATTATTCACAATATCTACCGTCAAAAGAGTAGAATGGCAAATAAAAGGTTGTTATATTCTTGTGCTTAGAAACGCGACAGGTTTATGCAATCAAACGAGAAGTCGCATTAAAACGTTACTTTGTTTAAGTGAATATGCTGAGATGTGTACTAGATTATTTTATGTTCAGAAGAAGCTAAAATTACTGTTTATAACCTATAATTTGAGTTACAGGACAAAGAATGGATAGCTGCTATGACTCAAAATCTTATTTTTAGCATCGCATTCACCTCATAAATGTTTATTTCATTTACATGCTTTTTTGTGTGAGAATTGTTGACGAAATTAAAACCTGAGTCATGACACGAGTGAAATCGGTAATTCTCACGTTAATAATCTGAAGTTATTGTGTTCAGACGAATTTTCAGCAAATCTACGGGATTAATCAAGCGACTTGTCGATCTAATCAGTGGATGCATTCTATAGTTAAAACAGCAGAGCATTGAACCAGCTAACGGAAGACCACTAAATTAGATACTAATGGCTACTTAAATTGGCCAGTCTTAGTTATGCATTTGCCGCATCCAACGTTCTAATCTTCCTAAGAAATATAAACAAATTATAGTCAGCTAATAATACTGTTTCCTAGCAATTTATACTATATGACTGATGTTACATTTTAGAATCCTTTTAACGACATGTGACGATTTCATTCACTTTAATAATTAACAAGACAGTAATTTCGTAGAGTTCAGTGGTAATCTGACAAATAAGGACTTCTTCAACTGCTTATCTCTATTTCATTCTTTTTTCTGTAGTCCATTGTAGTTGCCCCTACGATTACCCACAAGCTTTCCATTCCTCTTAATTCAATCTCCTTCACGTCACCTTCAAACACCAAATGGTCGTTTACCATTCACTTTCCACTCGAGGGTCTGACACGTAATGTCAGTGAACGGTCTCCCCAGTGTGTATCCGACTCATCTTCATTTCTTCAGCATACTTATTGGGCAAGTAATAAAGACTGACATTGTTAGAACCAAGTATTGAAAGTCCTGGTATACGTAAACAAAACTGTTGAATTGTGCAGATCAGAAAAGTTTCCAACATATAAAATTTTACATACACTTTATTAGTGTCTTTGGGCACTCCTCTCAGTTCACATCCAATCTCATCGTCAGTGAGCAAAGCAGAAAATATAGGGGATATCCAGAAAGAGACTTGACAGAGAAGGAATTTTATCATACAATGGAGTAATTCAACATTCATTCTTTTCCTTTAGAATTACAAGAATTCATGAATTCATAGTCTACCCGATCCGTAGTTTTGTAAATCTGTATTCAAATTTGAAGTAATCGGGGTATTTTTGGTTCCTAATAAAATTGCTAAGCGATCCTTAAAACCCAATTTTCCACAGTTATAATTATTATTATATTATTATTGTTCCCTTGGGTTCCTAGTGGAAAATAGGGCTTCAACTGCACGTCTCCACTTGCTTCTGTCTGCTTCCGCTGTACTTTTCACCTGCATCCATGTTAGTCCATGCTGTTTCAACTGCTGTCTCTTTACACAATCTCCTCCATGTTACCCTTGCACTGAAATCCCACTCGCCGCTTCCCTTTCGGGTTCCACTTGAGCAATGGCCTGACGCGCGATGTCACCCAGTGGCCTTCTCAGACAGTGTCAAATCCATCTCCATTTACTCCTGGATATTTGTTGGGCGATTGGTTCTTGCTTTGTTTCTTCCCATAGTTTCTTGTTGGTGATTCTTTCCGGCCATCTGATCTACAGTATAGAGCGAAGACAGTTAGTTGTTGATAAAGGTCTACAACAGGCTGTTGGAAATATTCTTTGTGACCCGCTGAAGTTTCTGATCCGTATAGAAGAACTGACTTGACGCTTGTATTGAAAATCCGAATTTTGTTGTTGATGCTGGCTGAGTGACAAAGATTTCCCGAATGGTTTCAGATTGACGAATGTGTTTCTCGCCTTCCCGATTCCCGCTCAACTTGACATCCTCGTCCGTTCCCGCTGCCTTTAGTTGGGACAATGCCCCCTAGATAAGTGAGTGAATGAATTAACCTCTTTCAAACCCCTCCCGTTGATGGTGATTGGCACTGGATGTTGCTTCTGTTGTTGTGGTTGGCTGATTATTTTCATAACCTCCGTCTTGTCTATTTTCACCTGGAGTTCTGTCTTCGCCGGCTGCTTCTTCGACCAGTTTGTCGGTTTTCACTTGTAAGTCTTCGATTGTATGTGACATCAAACATAAATCATCCACGCGCGAAATCCAGGTCTTCTAGGTTCTTCACGTCGGTCCAGGATATCCCTGTATGCTCATTTCCCACTGTCTGACGCATAATCCAGTCAGTTCACCCCAATTAGGAATATCATTGGTGATAATAAGCACCCTTATCTGACTCCTGTGTTTACTCCAAACGCCTCGCTGAGATTTCATTGTGGATCACTTGACGTGTACCGTTGCCGTACAGCTGTTGAATAAGGCTCATGAATATTTAGGGTACGCCGTGGTACTCGAGTAATTTACAAATTACTTCGCGGTCGACGCTGTCGAAGGCCTTCTCAAAGTCTATAAAGTTGAGGTAGGGGTTTGATCGCCATTCCATGCTTTGTTCGATGATGATGCGTAGAGTTGCAATTCGGCCAGTACATGATTTGCCTGACTTTCCTGAATCCAGCTTGTTCTGGTCGGAGTTCTGTATCGAGTGCGTCCTTTATTCTCTCCAGATGATGCGACTCAGGATTTTACTTGGTGTCGACAGGAGCATGATTCCTCGCCAGTTCTTGAAGAGTCCTAAGTCGCCCCAGAGTTAT